TGTCTGCAGGACTGGGCACACTCATGGAACAAAGACCCCTGCTAGGGAGCTACAGGGCTGGACCAGCCGGTGAGGCCTGGGCCTCGTCCCTCGTGGGCTGGAGAGGAGGGTCCCCGCTCGCACACTGCCCGTCCACAAGGGAACCCAGCCCCCCGTGTGGCGGGGCTCCAGCAGCAGGTGCTCACTGATGAGGTTGGTGGAGTTGGGGGCTCTGAAGAAGTCGGGCAGGTACAGCCACTGGATGAGGGCGGAGTTCATGGGGACGGCCCGGCTCCAACGCCACGGGTAGTCTGCGGGGGGGGAGGGTGTGCGTCACCTGTGTGTCCAGGCCCGCCCCCACCCGTCCCCAGCACCCACGGGAGCCGCCCTCACACCACTGCCACCCGAGTCTCCAAGCATCCGGGCCCAGAGCCCGCTTCTCGTGGACGCGTGTCTCAGACACGAACTGTGCCCCAGCCCTTGGGGGAGGAATCGAGGGTCGCCCGGGGAGGGTGATGGGCAGGTTGGCAGGGCAGGCCTCCCTGTGTGAGGGCCACGGTCGGCGTGGGCCAGAACAAGACTTCATCGCGCACCTGACAGAATGGCTAAAATAAAATGGTGTCGACGCAAAACGCTGGCACGGACAAGAGACGACACAGCCTCCCAGGGCACTCATCCCCGAGAGATGGAAGCCACGGCCACACAGACACCTGTGCAGTGGCAGACGACTAGTGTCCGCAACACCTGGTCCCCAGCGGCCAGATGTCGTCCACGGGTGAACGCGGGCAGCAGCCTGGAGCGCTTGGCTGTGGCTCGTGAGTGAGGGAAGCCAGACCCCAGGGCTGTGTGACCCTACTTAGGTGACTCCTGGCAAAGGGAAACCACAGGGCGGGAGTCACGGGGCAGGGGGCAGAGAACTGAGGTGGACATGCCTCCATGCGCTGGTCGGCACCACAGAGAGAACGTTACTATATTAAAAATCGAAGCCATCCTGGACGCTGGGGGGCCCAGGGCGGAGCGCAGACTGACAAGCAATCGAACCAGACGGTGCATGTACGTCGCACCTTCCAGAGGTCTTGGGGAAGAGCAGAGCCACCCGAGTGACGCTGGAAACTGTTCTGATTGAAGAAAGACACTGTCCGCCGAGAGGTCAGAGAAGCAGCATCTCCCCAGAGCGACACACACCGCGAGGGCTGGGGCTGGGCGTCTGAATTTCACCCGCCAGTGGAGGGAAGAAAGCAGGGTCCACCGGGCAGGGGCGGGGGGACTCCCAGGGCCAGCTGGGACGGTGCCAAGGACAGGACCCCAGGGACAGGACTGGAGCAGAGCCCCAGGCCTAAGTGCCCCGAGTCCATACAGGCAAATGAAAACTGGACAGAGCAGGGCGGGCGACGGGGCAGCTCCTCGCTCATGGAAGACGCCAGTCAACGGCCGACGAAGAAATGCAGAGATAGGAAGTCCCCGTGAGAGCCCCGAGCGCCCCTGTGGGCGGGCCCGCTGCTAGTAGGCAGGAGTTCACACAGAAACAAGACCCCTGCCTGGTCTCCAGGCCTGTCCCCTAACAAGCCTGCACTAGTGACAAGCAGCAGACGGGTGTAACCGGGTGATGAAGGCGTGTCCCCTGGGGTGATACACTGGCCCCACGTGACACCATGCTCTTGCCAAAAGTGCGTAACTTGGTCTAAAGCAGCAGCACTGGACGATGCAGGGGGAGGAACGGCAGCCTGGTGCTCCCAGGAGTCCCAGAGTGATGAAGAGGCAGGCAGACAGAGGCACCGCCCCGGCCCAAGGCGAGTGGAGCGGCCTGAGGAACACAGCAGGGGTGTCGGGGGCCTGGGACCCCCAGCGGCAGGGGCGAGACTGGGGAGAGCCACGCGGCCCAGGGCTCCGGCCGTAGGTGGTGGCCTGGCACCCACTGTGGCTCCAAGTATGTCAGAGGCTGACACTGACCCTAGGAAACTGGGTGAAGAGTTTCGGAGCTCTGTTCTGCTTCTGTAACTATCTGTAAGTCTACGGAAAAGTTAGAGAATTAAACAAGACGAACATGGGACAGCACGGGGCGTCTCGAGCCTATTCTGCCGGAAGCAGCCTGGCTGAATCAGGCGACCCCGTGTGGGTCCGTCCCTAGGACACTTTGGGAAAGGTCAAGTCAGAGATCGCCAGGCGGGCAGCCAGGGAGGGGCTGCTGCAAAGGGGCAGGGACTTGGGCCACAGGGTCTGACCGCAGTGGTCACGCGCCCGTGCCTTCATCAAAACTCAGACTGTACGCCCAACAGGGCGTTTCCCTGGGCGACTGCAGCCTCTGTGAGCCTGACGTAGACAGTGGTGGAGGATGTCTGACGTGCCGTCTGGGAGGGCTCCAGGGGCCGCCTTGGCACGTCCAAGGGAGCCCCAGACAGGTCACAACGCACTCAGAAAGCACCGCTGGGGCTCGGGGAGGGGGCGGCGCCATGGCAGAGCGCGTGCTTAGCAGGCATGAGGTCCTGGGTTCATCCCCCAGCTCCTCCCCCGCTCCACTGACAGCAAGAAACAGGAAAGGGGGAGAAATCAAAAGCCAACTAACCGACGAGCCAGCAGTGATGGCGAACGGGGAACGCCCCGTTCACGAAGGCCCACCGGCCACAGGGAGGGAGCAGGGCATGGACACCCAGCACAGCGGCAGCCCCGCGGCTGGGCCGTCGGGGGCCCTGGACGCCCCGCGGCCACCTGGCTCCCCAGTCGTGGGCCGTTTCTGCTGAAGGGTCCACTGACGTCTAAGTGTTGGGGCACAACCCGTGAATCCAGATTCAGAGCTTTCTGCAGACCCCCCGGCCTGACTGTGGGAAGGGCACAGATGGGCTGGGATGGACTCGACCAGAGGAGCTGCGAGAAGAGGTCGGCCGAGCCCTCCTGTCAGGTCCCGTCAAAGCAGACCATCACCAGGACACTGCCCTGAGGACGAGGCCGTGAGCACGGACGGTGTATCAGACCGGGGTACCATCCAGGAATGGATGGCCGTGTGGGGTCACTGTCCCGAGCACAGAGGGCACCGGCCCCCGGGGGAACTGGGCACGGACCCCGACGGACTCGGTCCTGCCCCCTGCTCCAGACACCGCTTCCCCAACCTCCCATTGAGATTTTTCAACATAGTATGCTGGGCAGGAAGAAAGCAATGAACGCAGTGACCATGGAGGGGGCAACTGCCGCCATGAGCGTCAGCACGGCCGCAGCCAGCAGATGGGGGAGGGGCCCCAGGGTAGGTGGCCCCCCCCCAGTGCTCGGCACACCCCGGTGCCTGCTCACCGATGCACAGGGCAGGGGGCACGCCCAGGCACAGCAGGTACTGGTACAGCAGAAAGAGCGCCAGGAAGAGGCAGTAGTTGGGCCAGAGGCGGGCGATGGCCACACGGCGCCGGCGCGTGAGGATGGCCACCAGCCAGCAGCCGTGCAGGATGACCATGAAGTTCATGCGCTGCCCGATCACAGTCACAGCCATCAGGAAGCAGATCTGGGGGTGGCAGAGTCAGGCAGGAGCTGGGGGGGGTGGCCTAGAATGCCTCTGGCGGGTGTCGTGCATGGGATGGGGGCCTGCAGCCCAGGCCCCTCTCCTGGAGGGACGGAGAGGCTGGACTTGTCTCTACTGTAGGGGGGGGACCATGGTGGTGGGGACCGTGGTGGGGGTTCCATGGCAGAGTCAAGACCAACCCTGTCTCCGGCCTGAGCCCCAGCCCCCACCCCAGCCTCTGCAGGCCTCTCCAAGCATGGGCTGACACTCAGCCCAGGAGGACCTGGCACCCTCGGTGGTCCCACCCCATCACCACACCCCAGCGGCCCCCTGGGCCTGCTCATCCCAGACGCTCAGCGAAGGCCCCTCGGGGCAGGAAGGACCCCAGTGGCTGAGTCTTGTCCGGCGGGGGGGGGGGTTGGGGGTGGGTAAGGGTCGATGCCCAGTCTCACCTCCAGCCCAAATTTATAGAAGAAGAAGTTGACGAAGTACTTGAGGCAGCTGGGCAGGTCCCGGTCCAGCTGCTGGCGGGTGCCGTCAGCGCAGACGGCCTGGGCGGGCAGTGGGCCCAGCTGGTGCCAGCGGCGGTGGTGCTCCTGGCGCCGATAGACCATGGCCTCGAACACCAGCAGCAGCAGGATCTGCAGGTGGTTCTGGGGAGCACGAGCAGTCAGGCCCTGCCCTGCCCCCTCGCCCTGTGCCCCAGGCACCCGACCACCTCGCCTGCCTGCCCCACGCTCACCTGGATGTAGCCCAGGTTTGGGAAGCCCTTCCGCACCCCAAACCAGTTGGCAGGGTCAATGGGGCCCCGGTACAGCAGAGAGTCATGGACCTCCGTCTTCTGCAGGTTCGTGCTGTTGGGGAAGGGCTGAGGGAGGGCTGGCGTCAGCACCTGTTCCCCGCCAGGAACTGGACTCTGCCTCGCTCCCTGTCCCCAGCCACAGCTCGAGGACTGGTCTGGGCCAGAGAATAGCTGTCCCCAGCCAGGGACGTGAGGTGCTGCCTCCAATCCACCTTAATGGGGAAGGGGACAGGGTATCTGGGGACAGGGAAGCCACCCGCAGGAGCTGGGGGTAGTGAAGACAAAGTGATGGGTGGGGCTTCCCTGGGCGACCCCCTCCTTCCCCAGGGCTTCCCCTTCTCTCCAGGAGACCTTGGGCCTCTGCGCCCCTCACGCCATGACGCGCACGTCCATCAGGGAGCCAGCCAGGTCAGGACACTCCTCTGAACCCGGACGCCCCGGTATTGGGGGTGAGCCCCCGCAGACCAGGTGGAAGGTCACCTCCTCCAGGAAGCCCCTGGCCCCAGGGACAGGCCCTCTGCACCTGTCCTCCGCCCTGGGCTGGAGCGGCGGCCCCCAGGGGCGCGGGAGACTCCGTGTGGCTCAGGCGCCACGAGGCAGCAGCCGTACCTCAGTGCAGTTGCTGGAGTACTCGTGCGGGTTGACGACCTTGAGCTGGTAGAGCATCTTGCACACGATGATGACGCAGGTCCACACAGTGGACAGGCAGGAGGCCGTGGGCCGGAAGCGTGGGTAGGGCAGGGCGAAGGCCCAGAGCGCCACCAGCAGGAAGTTCATCACTGACACCTGCCGGCAGGCGGGTGGATGGGCTGGGGGCGGGCAGAGTGGCACCCCACCCTCCCCGTGGTGCCTGTGACCTGCAGCCCAGGCTGCAGGGAGGCCAGCGAGGGTCCCTGAGTGACCCTGCTACAGACAAGGAAGTGCGTGTCCACACTCACCTCCTTCAGGGCCACCCAGACAGTGTACAGTGCGACCAGCTTTACGACGTGCAGCTCCAGCAGGCGCTGCGTGAACATCTGCACGCGGGCAAGGACGTCTGAGAAGCCGGCGGCCAGGTCCAGCAGCCTCTCTGCCACCAGGCCCCACTTGCTGGCTGGGGTGGGTTGGGGAGGACAGTGAGGAGGGGGACGGAGTCTCTCAGGGTTCACGGCGGGTGGGGGGGTGTCTGTGTCCCGTACTTACCCTCTGGGGCCTGCGAGGCCTGGGAGGGGCCTGCTGTGCCTAGCCCCTCGTCCCTGGGGGCCTCCTCTTCCTCCTGTTGCAGCAGTGGGGTCCCGCTCACCGCGTCCTGCCTAGGACAGGACCCCAAAGTGTCCTTCCCACCTGCACTTATGGGGTGGCCCCACAGGCCCCTCCCATTCCTGCCCCACCCCCATCTGTGGGACTCCTGCTGTAGGTGCTGCAGCTGCCCGTGAGCCTGTGGCCCCGTGACCCCTGCGGGTCAGAGAGGACATCCAGCGCCTGAGGCCCCTCATCTGAAGGCAGCAGCCCAGGCTG